TGGCCTTGCAGTAATAGGCCTTGGGTTACTGCTGGTAATCCTGCCTTCCCCTTGTAGGGTTAGAGGAGGTCAGAACATGTGGCCTCCTTGCCGTTTTTGCAAGTGGTCACAAAGAACTCACAGATTATGGGGTTTATTAGGGAAGCAGCAGGCTGCAATTCAAGTTCAGGGATGCACTCAGTCTCTCAGCCAGCTGTCTCTCTCAGCTGACAGTCAGAGAGACTCTCTCCTCCTGCCTCTAGAAAGGTTCCTTTTGAGCCTGGCAGAGTGGCCAAAACCAACCAATCCCAACATCAGAATTCTATACACCTGAGAGAGAGCAAACTTCCCAGAAGATTGCTTCATTCCACTCCAACAGAAATACACCAAGTAGATAACTTTAACAATCAGCTACTCATGGCAAAGGGGGAGTTATCAAAGACTATGGCTAGAAAAGCCATACCATGTAATTTGCTACACTACAGGCCACCTTCTGGCTTTTCTAGCCATTATCTCTTTTATACTTCAAAAATTAACATCTCCTTTACCATCAGTTTGAGAATAACCACATCCCTGAAAGCAGTGTAAGCCAGCCACTTCATGCCTTTATCTCCCTCCTAAATAATAGCCAATCTCTAATTTGCCCATCCCTGTCAAACTAGTACTCTGAAGAGACAAGCATGTTCCTTTCTCTTTGGAGAATCTCTGTTCTGCTTGGAAATTTGGGGCATCTGCATCCATAAACAAGCAAAGCCCAGCCTAGCACAGCCATCAAATTGCAGCAACTTAACACTAGCTCAGTCCTCTTCTTCATTTGATCAGGTTCTGGTCAGCTCAGTCCTAGCCATCTCAGCTAGGTCATGGGTTCCAACTGCCAAGTTTGGAAGTTACATTCTTCCCTTCACTTCAGACCAACCAGCGCCTTCTCTCACATCCTCAGTCCTCAGGGACTATTTCAATGCCTGTAGGCTCACAACTCCTTGCACTTTAGACCAGCCAGCCCTTCCTCTCATCCCCAGCCTCTGTCACCTAGGTCAAAGAGTACCAAACTCTGCCCATTTCTTCATTGCTGCATTTCCCCCATTTCCACTCAGGTGGACCCAGATGGTCACAGGCAAGCAGCATACAAGCCTACTACTCACTGGCTTCCTTTAACTTCAATCCTGGAAGGGGTTTCTCTCATGGACCATGACTTTCCTGCCTCAATTCCTGCCTCAATGCACCCAAGGGAGCTCTGGTAGCATAGTGCCTAAGGCATCTGACTGCTCACCAGAAGCCTGGCGGTTCAAACCCATCAGCCACTCCTCAGAAGGAAGGTTGGGCAATCCTACTTCTGTAGTGATACTGCCTCGGAAACCCAAGGAGGGGTCGCT